AAATCCCTCTTCATGTGTGATGAAATATATTTTTGCGACTTTTGTAAGAAAGAATAATTGAAGGTTGGATTTCACGAAACATCATTACTTTCCATGTTGGAAAATTGAAAATGCAAATGACAAATGTGGAAACAATGCATGGTAATTTTGGTTTACATACTTTTTTTGGGTGCTTGATGTTTCAACTAATGAAGGGATCTCATCAAATACCTAAAATAGTTAAAATACTATAAAAAAAGTATTTATTTTATACTAAGAAATATCGGGGTATAAACTAGCAGAGCTTAGTAATCCTAGCTCTTGCTAGTGTTCGGCACATTCAAAACTGCAGTTCTTCTGAATGGGACGTGCATCGTATGCTCATATTGACAGTAGAAAACAGAAGCCATTTTATTTCATCCATACGATCCCACATACAGGGCCAGGAAACCATACACAAAGCATGCATTTATAAGCATGCTTATCTTATTTACCATTGCTCATACACACACAAGTTTTTGCCTATTACTCGCTCTTAATTAATTACCTCCCTAATATTACCCATTTCCCGCACCTTATTCTGCTTTGCCCCCGAAACCCCCACCGTCCCATTACGTGCGGCAGCGACAACGACGCCCACAGAGCCAGCGTAATTAGTCCCCGTAGCCCAAATGGGATTGCTGTATATGACAACATTGCGATCCCTTTGTACTATAAGGATATAGTTTCCATTTTCTCTGTCGGTGTTGCTCGCCCATACGGCCGTATTTGTATAGTCGTAGACGACGAGATTGCCGTCGTGCTGCATGGTGAGGTAGCAGCCTTGACCCCTACCGTCAGTTCCCGAAGCCCATATCGCTGTATTAGATTCGTAGAGGACGAGGTTGCAGTCGTACTGGATGATGAATATGTAGTTATCAGTTCTGAGGGATTCACCTGTGTTGAGACGCTGACCGGCGAGCAAGTGGTTGTAGTTCTGGGCCGAGGATGGGTTGGCGAGAAGGATTGTGAGGGATGCGGCGAAGAGAAGGGACTTAATCATTGAGGAGAAAACCATGGTTGGTTAATAGGGAGGTTTTCTTGTATGGTTCAGATTGCTGTGGGCTGAAGTCTCAATTTATAGAGCTTTGGCGTATCTGGAAAATTAAATAAAGTAAAAATATTAAATGTATATGATATAATCGACAATGGTTAAAGTGAAACGTACCAAGTAAAAGAAAATCATGTCGAATCCAGCACATGATTTTTGTACACAAGTATTTTTTTTTTCCTTCTATTTTTTTATTTTTCGGAGAGCCGCGTCTCACTAGTGTGCCTACATTTTTATTTATTTGATTTATTAGAAGATACGCAAAGTTAATTTAAAGTAAATTTAGTTATAGTGCTTTGTATAAAAATTTATAAATGGGACTA